TTTTCATGAATCAAATGTTCATTTATAAATAATATCTTCTTTAGATTTTATTAGATAGCTAAAGCAAAATGTCGATCACAGCCAAAATTCCAACCGAACCTTTGAATGGTGCATCTAATAAATACAAATCAATGGATGATTCATCGAAACTATTCGATAAGAAAAAAGAAGGTTCTCAAACTCTTGCTATAACCATTAATCAAATTCAAACACTAGTTAAATCAATAAAGAGACCAGGTGTTCACGCTGTCTACTCTATGGCTGCTGCCGGTTTTAAATATATAGGTGATGGAGATACAGCTCGTTGTAAAGATTGTGGACTTGAGGTATCCAATTGGACATTAGATATGAATCCATTTACTATTCATTCGAAATGTCAACCGGATTGCTCATTTGTGCGCTCTACAGTACCAACTTTATCATCAGATGTACTGGCGTCTTCCATGTCATCAACAACTGGTACTCGAAATGCATCTGTATCAACTGCAGAAGAAAATACTTCTAAACGTCAAACAATAGAAACATTGGGTTTCCGATCTGTATCAAATACTTTATGTGAAAGTGATTCACTTCAACAAGTACGAAGACGTACCTTTTCTCATTGGCCACATCATACTGTTCCATCAAGTGCACAAATGATTGAAGCCGGATTTTTTAATTGCAATGTTGGTGATCGAGTAATATGTATCTATTGTAATCTTATTTGTCAGCAATGGACACCACATATAGATGATCCATGTGAATTACATAAAATACTATCACCTAATTGTATATATGTCAAAACAAGGTTGATGCGTCCTATACCTTTACCAATAATTATTGTCAACGAAAGTTCACTGACAACAACTACAGGCATTGCTTCATCGATATCAAATAATCTCAGCTCATTACGACCTAGTGATATTGTGTACAGAGCATCTTGTAATCCTGCTTATTCCGAAATACCAAAACGTCATGCATCATTCGCTACTTGGCCAAATGAAGATTTACCATCGGTGGATCATTTAGTTCGAGCAGGATTTTTCTTTACAGGTGCAAAAACCATTGTTACTTGCTTTTATTGTAATGGATCATTACAAAATTGGGGTTCGAATGATAATCCAATGATTGAACATGCTCGTTGGTTTCCATATTGTGCATATGCTAGACAATTATGTGGTGAAGAATTATATCATAAAATTCAAGAATCTAAACGAATACAACAAGGTAAATTTTGAAAAATTATAAATTTTTAGTTAAAATTGATTCATGTTTTCCTTGATAGAACGTGCTAGAGCTAGCGAATTAAGAGAAAAAACAGCCTCAAATAATCTGGTACATATTAATGCAACAGCAAATAGTGGACAATTATTAATACCTGATGAAAATACTTTATCCAGACTCGTCGCTGCACGATTAGACTTATCGATGTCACAACGTTTATTGGATCAAAATTTTAAATTATCTATCATTAAACGATGTTGGGAAGATCAATTACGAATAAAACGTGCGTTAATCAATAAAATATTGTCCTTCGTATTTTGTTTTTGAATAATTTATTCAGGTGATGATTTTGTGTCCGACTGTGAGTTGTATGTTGCTTGCTTAATTCTTCGAAAACAAATCGAGCATATTGATGGCAAAAAAGAAAATATTGTTATACCAAGTATTAAAATGAAACAAATCCGAGAACAAAATGGTGAGTTTGTTCTAGGTACATTCCTCATTTTAAGGTTTTTATTCTCTAGAGACAGGAATGTCTGAACAAACATCAACTGTATCTAATGCAGCTCAATCCGTACACAATCGTACAGGTGTTGAAATGACAACATCATTGCAGCCATTAACAAATCAATCTACAACTTCTCAATCTTCTATTCACTCAACATCAAAATCAACAAGCAGTGGCATTGAACGTGAAACACAAATACATAAACAAATAACTACTATCAATGATCGAAGTCAATCAACTAATTCAGAACCATCGAATCTTTGTGTTCTATGTCTGACAGAAGGAAAACAATTAGCTTGTATACCATGTGGGCACATGGCAACATGTGTCGCATGTGGTCATTCACTGCGATTGTGTCCAATATGTCGACGAGGAATCGATGCATTTATTAGAATTTACATTTAACAAAAAATGTTTTTTCTTTTACTAAATCACAGTTAGCTAGTTACCATCGATAGGTTTTGTATCTACATGAAATCATAAAATAACATTGATATGAAAAGCAGCTGTTTTTCAATATCATGTAAAAGCAAAATAACAGTTTGTATTTTTAAAAGTGTTTTGTTTTTTTTTCCAGAAGCTTGTTATTATTCTTGAATTTTTGCTTAAACAGGATATTGATCTAATAAAAACAAGAGCAATTAGTTCTGCATTATTGCCGCCAATAACAAAGAATATGCATTCTACTATCTAGTACTTGTGTATTTTTTTATGTATATATTTTTAGTTTAAATTTCATCTCTTGTCGTATTCTAAGACTAAAGCATTACCGGCGTTTGTTTTTCTATGCAAAAAGAATATATGGAAGTTATTATTATTTATTTTTAAGGATTGAGAAATAATAACCAATAGTATGCAACAAAAAAAGAGATTGTAATTATTTTTGTTGTAGAAATTTATTGATTCTAAATGGGTGGATGTATGAGTGTGGGTATGGGTATTCTTTTTTCATGATTTAAGTACCCACATTCCACACCCACACCCACGATGGCATTTATATGCAAAGCTATTCTCGTGTACAAGCGTTCATAGTGGCGAGATCAAAATCTAAGTAGATTTGCTATGTCGTGTCAAAGCCGAGCTCACAAGTGGCATGATACTAGCGATGATACTTGCAATGCTCTCTTTGATTTTTGCATGGCTGGCACAACCAAGTAACATGTGATTGACGATACTGTCGGAATGTTTGGGAATGAAGTGGCGATTCTGACAGCCATATATATATCACTGACTGCAGCAACGAACTATTCACAAAACAGAGTTAGTTCACTCTTAGCGTTCTCTAGTTATGCTCGAGATATTTATTCATCTGGTATTTTAAATAAACAAAAGACTATGTAGTTAACAAATCGTTGACAATGTTCACTATTTAAAAAAATGATTGACAGTTTGTCCATTGGAATCCTGCCTCTTGAAATAAAACTGAATAGCATCTTGTAGTTGGCCTAAAGTTCTATCGTTTGGCTATGATCATTATTCTTTGAATTGAAACACGTCATCGCGAAAAATTGTTTTACATAGCAAATTAAGTCATTCCGCAAAAATGTTTATTCAAGCATAAACGATTCAGATAATTTTCTACGGAAACATAGATATGTTAGTGAATCGATAACAATTATTCTCATAGACTTATGCTATTGATAAGAATTTACGATATCGGTCAAACTCATCGTAAACTGAAAAAATTCTCTTATTAAGTAAGATTATGGTCATAGATGTACAGTACACAAAAAAATTATGTCTCTCAAATCCAACTAGACCTTCACAGAGATTGCTACGAGACTTATATAGAATAAGTATCCTTCAACTAGGAAAATGCACCTTTGAACTAGGATTTTGATAATAGATTGACAGTGGGAAAAAGAAAATAGTCGTGTTGAAATACTCTCATGCCAAATATAGAATAACTTTCATTTATTGAATACAATCCATAAAAGACATTCTTTCATCAGATGAAACTCGATTAAAAAATGACAATGTGTAAAGACAATGGTGTCTGGCAATAGAGTAATACTTGAAAGTTCCATTAAATTATTAAAGTGTCTTGCAGATATCTAGTTCAATTTGGTTATGTGTAGATGTACGTATAAACATTATGTAGCACATTCATTAGTTGAACACTTGAATTTAAGTTTCACATGTTGTGCTTCTGGTATATATTCATTTCGAATTTTTAACTGTCAGCACTGATTTGAATGGAATAGTAATCGCGGCAAAAAAGAAATAATTGTATAAAGAAATTTGTATAAAATGTACGTTGCTCACATATATATGTTGAGTTTCACGAGTAGGTCTCATCTTTGCTATATCTTCTGTCTAGCGCAGTATGATTGAATCTTTTATGTCTTAAATCATTCGTTGTCTCAATTGACCTCGATCTTTTTCTACGTTTTTTTTCTATTTCAGTGAACATTTCTAATGACCTTGTTGCCAATTTTGTCATAACGAGACGTGGATTCTGTCATTATCATGCCACCAAACTTCTAATGGATGAAAGCACTAAATTGGCATGGTTTATTTCATTTATCACAATAGTTTAACTCCAACTTCTTGCTCTTCATTCTTTTCTTTGTACGTGTAAAACGGACTTCTCGATTTCAACAACAATGTTCAATCTGAGTCTTCGAGAAAATGACGATTTAGAGCTATGGATAGTGACCAAGATATTTGCGTGATGGCCTCTTAAAGATGCTTTCATAAATGATCCATAACTCGGTTCAATGGTTAACTTAATGCATTCGAATATCCATATTCAAGTTGGACACATTTGGACTATTTCATATCGACCTAGAATGGTTCGAGACGAAGGTTTCTCCTTGACAAGCAGTATGTTTGGTAGAAATTGTGTCTCTTTCCCTTAAATCAAGAACAATAAAGTATATTTGCAACAATAATGAGCACTTGACAACTCATTGTCAGTTTATCGGTTCGAAATTAGGGTGCATAACAGCGCTCGATTTCGATTTTCTATAAATTTCATTCCACTTTTCTTATCAAGAAACTTTCTTGCGTACACTTTTCAATTCAGTAACTGATCTTGAATTCTTAGTTGGCGAGATTTATTAGGTGACACTCAGAAAAGACGACTTGAAGATTCACACAAATTTCAAGAATACTATTTGAAAAAAGTCACATGTTTTATTATTATGTATCTTCGTTTTCTACCGAAGATACAAGATGTTCTTGATTGTTTCTTCTGAAATTCTATACAATCGTCAAGTAAAAGTTTTTGGTATAGTCAATAGACTATTAAATTGGATGGTTCGTCTGCGCAGCAATAAAGTAATTGTTAAGGATTGGCAAGTGCATAAACATCACTTGAGGTGAGTTCTCGTGAGTAAACTCTCAATTCATCTATCATTCCATAGAATTGTCCTGTTGAGATACTGCCCGATGCGCATGACATTGCGGCTGGAAATGTTGTTCCTACTGTAATCCAATCAGGCGAACTCGATGCAGCATAAGTAAATGTAGTCGATGAGCCAATCAGAGTCCCATTGATCCAAAGACGAACGCTATTATTGATACTGTACGATGTAACAATATGAGTCCACACGCCCAACTGAAGAACAGGACCTTGGACAGTCATCATAAAAGAATTCCAACTTTGAGCGATAATTTCGTTTGATGAAGTCAGACCTAACATGGGTATACACCATGATGTTCCATTCGAGCTAAATAAATCTTGCTCATGTTTATTTAAGTTTAATCTTCAGCTGAAAGAAAACAAATGTGACTCTCTCTCTATATATATGAGGTAGAAATTTGTCGAATGATGCATTCTCTTTTACAACTGTTATGAGAAAAAAAATGGAGAAACAATTTATTCCTAGTTTGACATTGGTGTTACATCATCGACAGACAGCCGATACAAATGTACTTTGATCACATAGCATGGATCAAACGAGTATTCGTTTGATGCATTGACTAATTTAGTAAATTACCTATTGGTTTGCGACTAAATCTGATATCAGCTTTTTTCATTAGAAAATCTCTTTCAGAATAAATAATTTTTCTCGGCAGAAGCGTCTATCAGTGCACATGAACTAGGTCAGATATGATTTGGATGGAATTACTCATTGTCGAAGAGCACATGTGAATGTAAACTTTTCTTTACTTTGCTGATACATGCAATAAGGTTCCACCTCCACTAGTTGACAATGCTTTGTTTACCCAAAGTGATATAGAATAGGCTTGACCAACCACACCTAATAGAGTAAATCAACCTGCTTGAAAATAAGCACCAGAAACATTGAACAAAATGGATTGATTGATACGACCTGTTGTTGAGCTTAAACCAACGCCGGTCTAAGCAGATAGCAAATCAGTATCACATATTCAGATTAACAAATGCTCTATCAATATAGAAAGTCCATCTCAGTTTTATATTACATTCAAAATCAGTGTTCAGTTATTATTTGTGGTGAATCAATTTTCTATCAGTGCGGTTTCTCAGTTTCAATCATATCTTTTACTGTCTATTTGGTACGAAATGAAAATAAACCTATTTTGTGATTTAGATCTATGCTTTGATCTAGGAAATGAATAAGATAGGTTTCTATGTTTTTTTCGACGTACTCCATTGATCTTCTTTGGTCCTGAATCATAGTATGAACCATCATCAAATGAATAATAAGCCACGAGAGTTGCATCCATTAAAACTTCTGTCGCAGTCTTCGCTCTCGATACATATGCCATCTGATCGTTGTAGCCCGTCCAAAATGAGGCCGGTGTCGTACCTGTATTATTAATCGCTCCAATAGTGATCGCTCCACTTGTTGCCTGAAATGGACTCGATGAACTATGTGTACATTCGAGAATACCATTCAAATAAATGTATTGTGTCAGAGCTGCATAATCGTAGACAAATGCGAAGTGGTACCAACGATTGGTCAATACAATTGTTGAGCCCCAACAATCATTACCATAAAATGCAAAATAAGTTCGGTTTTGTCGAACCATTAAGTACATGCACAAATTAATGCTAGTTGTTTGACACATGCCAAACATCAAATTGTCGTAATTATCTAGAAAGATAAAATGTACTAACTAATCAATATATAAACATACATTTAGTCTATCTCATTCAAGGGTTGCTTCAATGTTAACAGATGATTTTACATCTGAGAAAAATAATTGGAAGACTCAGAATTTCCTCATAACATCAACTTTCGAGCGCATGATATGTAAATAGATCCTGTGTAGAACCGATTGAATAAGTATGTGTATTCAAAATAATTATGATTAAAAATCAGTAAATCTCTACATTTATCATAATCATTACTAAAAACTTCAGTAATTGAACTTATTACTATTCTGTTCTGTACTCAGATCTCAAAGAAGACATGTTCTACTCATGTTTTATTAGAGATAAGACGTCAATATTCGTGAATCTAAATTTTGCAAGCAGAAGATTAACTTAGATCTCATCTTTATATTGAACAATATTGCTTTAACACATTGGGCACGATGTGGCCCACCGGTGGGCCACGCTATGGTTTTACGAGTAACTGTATAGACAAACACTTTCTTTTGATTTTTTCTTAGGCACGAGGTTATAAACATGAAGTGTCAGTTGTTCTGTGTTCAGTGCTTTATTTGCGTCCTTTATTCCATAGGATAATGCTTGTCATTAAAACACTCTAGACAAAAAAACTTATCACAGTCAGAACAAAAAGTTTTCACTTTCTTTGCTGCCGCATAGCTTGCTTCTCTTGACTGTTGTGCCTTCCCTTCGCATAGCAGCTAGTACATCGTCTGCCAACATTGCGCGTAGATCCTTCCTTTTCTTCGAGCTTGTGATCAGCGAGTTTGCGCTTGGAATGACTTGCTGATTGTTGTATCGGACCAGGTTTTAGCTTCTCGATTGGCGCACCAAGGAGTAAAGATCGTACAAGACTTTCTCGAAACTGTAAAATCTGTATGTTGCTCGCCGCATAATTTTCCTTGTAAATCAGATAACTATTAACCACTGCAGTTCCAAATACCAATTCAAATGCCACCTTTTTATACCATTTTATTGACCGTCTCAGGCATGTGTGGTATGTTGATAGTTGATCTGATAAATCAGTACCTTGTCTGCCTTCATTGTAATCGAGAACAACTTGCGGCTTCATGATGCGTTCATTCAGTTTATTGATTTTTCCGGTGTTCACCACAGTTGCTGAATGAAATGGTTTAGTAGATATCATCAGAACGTCTCTTTTATCTTTCCACTTGATCAATTTTACACCGATTTTGTTCTGGAGCCCATAAACCTCACCAGGCTTGAGCTTTTTCTGAACAACTTCATATCCTGATCCAGTACGATTACTTCTCAATGTTCCAATAAGATACGTATCCTGTTCCAACAAACGTTTTGCTAGAGAAATACTAGTAAAGAAGTTGTCAGCCACCACGGTTCGATAACATCCCGAAAGACCATTCAATAGATTCATTACGACTGCTTCAGCATGTCCACGACCTGCCATAGGATCTTGCTGACCAGTATAGATCACATAATTCCAGGTGTATCCATTGGTAGCCGCTAGCTTGTATATCTTTACGCCGTACTTGTGTGCTTTTCCAGGGATGTATTGTTTGAACAAAAGTCTGCCTCGCCATGGTACCATACTTTCGTCGATGCTAATAACTGAGCCAGGCATATATACTGATGAAAACCTCTCTTTGAGTAAATCTGAGAGTGGTTTCAACTTGAACAGCCTGTCGTGGTCCGAATTCTTGTTATTGTTGTTTGTAAAATGCCAAAATTTGAGGAGTAATTCAAACCTCTCTCTCGACATGGCATTTCGTATGATCTCTGATCCGTACAATTGACTACTGCTCCAGTAGTATTTCAGTTTCGGCATTTGTACCAATCCCATCTCGATAATGATTCCAAAGAACTTCAGCATCTCTTCATCGGTGGTTGGTTTCCATTGACGAAATTTTGACCGTCTGCTAATCTCATGAGTTTGCAAATATTGTTCCGCATAGCGATTAGTTTCACGAACCATAAGGTCAATAATTTCGTCCGTAATGAAATGCCGATAGCAATCGATAGGGTCGATTGTATTGTCTCCTGAAGTCGAAGTTACTTCTTCGACGAGACCATGATCTTCCATAAATTCATCATCCGATTCTGGTTTTATTTCATTCCAGACGTTTGAATCTACCTCGTCATTTGTCACTTCTTCGTCGGAGCTTTCAGATTCAAGATGTATTCTATCGAAATCATCATCCAAAGAACTCACTTCACTTCGTGAGCTAACGCTTTCTTCTGAATCGGTTTCTTCGAACGACATGTGTACTATTCCAAAAATTCACTCGTCTTTATATAGTAAAACAACACATGGATAAGAATAACAGAGAAAAGCCTGGAATTTTCCTCCTTCTTCTCACATATGTTATATATAACATGAAAAAGAACGAAAAATTGACTCAGGCAATTCTAGTTACTCGCGAAAAATGATTCATTATGTAGTAATACAAGAAAGAGAACGATAAATAATCAGTAGAAGATAACGAAAGGGTCATTAAGTGCATTTATTAGAAGTGAACTATTCATAAAAATGACATCTTGCAGAAATTTCATACGAAAACTGAATCGTGCCCAATGTGTTAATAGTACATTTCGAAAATTTAAGTTCTTCATGAATTCTGATCGAGCAATGTTTTCTAGTAACAAGCTATATCTCGAAATTACATTGGATGAAAACTAGATCTATTCAATTTGTTGCATTAGAGAGTCTCTTTCATTGAATAAGCCCCATCTACGCATGTAGTGGCGTGTATAAGACATACTTAATTGTAAAGCATGTCAATGCATAGTTTATGATAACTGCATAGATTAGTGTTGTGAGACGATGTGGATGATTGGGAAGATAAAATGATCTGTTTTCATATTTTCGTGCAAAAACTTTTCAAGGTCTATTTGAAGAGCGTACCTTTAGCTATTCAAAAGCTTTTGGTATAAAGTAAAAGTACGGACTTCGACACTTCACGAGACTTGAAAAGATTGCAAGGATTTCGAAACATTATATAAATCTGTGAAGCAGCTCATGAAATTTCAAAAGACTTCCTAACATGGCAAAGTACTGCAAGAGACATCGTCAAATCTCTTAGACGTCATTAAACTTTCAGAGTCATGAGTCTGTAGTTCTGCGTTTACTTCAAGTGTTACATATCATATTTTAAGCCCTGGGACAATGTTCAATATGTTATAGGCAACATTAGCAGACACTCCTTGAAGACTTATAGAGATCAGACTGAAGTAATGTGTTAATCGTGACTCGACCAGTTTTTATCATAGAATTGTTCATATAGATCTATTCCTATCAGAGAAAGTTCGACAGGATTAGTAACTCACCTAAGTTGATTGGATAAGACCACATTTCCCAAGTGAAACTTGTGTATGTCATGTCTTTGTAATTTGACACGAGAACGTATTGGGAATTTGCTCCACTGAGAGACAATGCCGACCCATAACCAGTGTAGCCAGGTGAAATATAAGTCGCACCATTTATGCCAACGCCATTGTATACATTATACATATCATTGACATTGGAATCAAATGACCAGAAGATATATGAGAGAGGTGCAGCAGATGTTGTAGCTATTCAAATACGATTAAATAGGAAATAACTGATTAAATCATCAATACATTTCAAAAATTTGATCGAAATCGTTTTATGTTTCTTAATTTAGTTCACTACAACGACACACGGTTTTCTGAAATTATCATTGGAATTTTTCTCTATTGTTCACAGACGGACTCAACTCCTTTTTAGTGATAGTCAACATAATCATTTGATCTCAGAGTATCGTCTTTTTCTATCTCTTTGTAAGGACAATCAACATTTCATTTGTACAACTGTACGTTTTCGATGAACTATGTTCTACTATTGTTTACTTGTGCTAGTTGTTGTTGTTGTGCTGATCGTGGTGCTTGTTGTCGTTGAAGTTGTCGTAGTTTCTGTAGTGGTTGTCGTTGAAGTTGTTGTTGTAGTCGTAGTTGTGCTTGTACCTGGAGATAGATTAATGAGCAAGAACTACATCTACACTGAATACAATTACTTGTTGTAGAAGTGGTACCTATTCAGATAAGTTTCATTTTCAATAGAATTTTTCAATTGATAACATACTTGATGTTGAAGATGTACTTGTACTAGTGGTGCTTGTTACCGTTGTTGTTGATGTCGTTGTAGCTAAAAATTAGTATTCAATGCAATTTTTAACATTCTTCATAATATCTTAGTTATTTACTTGTCAATATTGTTGTTCCCGTGTCTACAAAAGAGTTTCGAATTCATTGGATAAAAATTAAATTTACTTTTCATCGAATTATCTTTACAGGTCAAGACATTTCTATATGAATTTTTCTCACGTTTCTAATAAGAAGATTATCATCAAGAAAAATTTGCCGATAGAAAGCGATAAGTATTTGCCGGACATGTTTAATACCGATACTGTCGATAATGAGATTCACAACAAGAATTGGACTGAGAGTATTAGCGTTTACTATTTGGTAGAAGACGAAAGAAAAAAATTATTCTTTTTCGAAATTGAAAAATTACTGACTGCTATAAACTAGTACTTGTTTGTGAGCAGTTACCCTATTTCACTATATTGAACATTGCGGTATCAGTTCTACTCAATTCCGGCAACTTGGTTATCATTCAACACAAGCCACCTAATCGATATTAATCGAGTTCCGTCAATTTCCAGAAACTGCTTCTTTATTTCGGAATTGAACGGAATTCCTAGGAGTTTCTGGGATTCCGTCCGACTTCGGAATTCCGAGAATCGCCTTCAATTCCGAAATTGGACAGACTTCCTGGGAATTTTGAGTAGTGTGGTCTCAAGTTAATTCCTGGAATTCCCAGAATTGACGAAACTCGATCGATATCGATGAGGACTCTTATGTTAAATGATGATCGAGTTTTCGGAATTGGACGAAATTGATTCCGGGGGCGGAACTAGTT